ATTTCCGGCCATGCGTATTTCTTCCCTGAGAGCTTCTAGCTGTGCTTGAATTTCTGTCACCAAAGAATTAGAACTTCCGGCCATAATTGATTCTCTCTTTGCAAGAATTTCCCACAGACGGCGCCAATTGTTTTAACCAGAAATTAAACTAATCTAAATACGGAATTGAATACTATTGATATGGGAATCAAGCAAAAAGAATCAAAGCCAGAATGGAGTAATTCGGTATGAATAATGAATAATTAATACGAAGTAATAATTAATATAAAGAGCAGAAATGTTTAGATCGTATGTGTATTCTGATTGTCAAAAGAAGTGTGTTACATCGTAGATCATCTACCCTATTTAAAGGAGCATGAATTTCCTCTTCCGCAAGCCTAGGAGTGTGCACCGAATTTTCTGCCTCCACCCAACTGCCTTTAGCCTTTCCATGCCTATCCCTTCTTTTTCGTTGATTTCAAATTAAGCTGCAATCTTATCCCAACTTGGGGCCAACCCTTTCCTAATTTAATTTCACCTTGCGGCCCATTATCCTTTTGTATTCTTGGGCCCAACAGGTACGTAACTTCGTAGACTAATGTTCCATTAATGCATGTCAATTCAATAACTTAAAATATTATTCCCAAAATTTCTACGATTTAATTTCATGTAGCTCTTATATCATGATATTGGTGTAGTATAATTCGAGACAACTCAATCCAAGTAGAGTGTAAAATGGTTTGCCCCAATATCAATTTCTATATAACATATTAAAATAAGTCAAAGTTTTCATCAAGCCATCTTTAATTTGAGCCATTTCCCACCTATACCATTACACATTCACACGTCTATTGTTTATGTATGTGGTTGTTACAGCCCAAATTGCCAAAAAGTGATCTCAGCAATGGGCAATTCTGATGCTTCCGTTCACGGGACATGCTTCCTCTTTCCCCATTTCTTCAAGTTTTGTCTCTTAAAAGTGTGTATTTCTAATATACCTCCTTGAGTTGTCACTTGCTCATATCTTCACGTCAAATTGGTTTGTACAAAAGTTTGGGTTGCTTATGATGCTCTACCCATTACATTAATGCGTGTATAATTTGTGTCCATTTTAAAATGCTATTTGGATTGAAATGGCATCTCATCTAGGCCATTGATTTGAAGAATGGAGAATGAATCATTTGAAAGGCAAAAAGGTAGTGGCATTATATGATTCTTTAATGAAAATGAAGTCATTGGAAGTGTATTATTATATCAATTCATTAAGTTGTGCATAACAAGAGTGTACATATTCACAAAATGTGCCATGACTAAGAGAGTATGATGACAATTTAATAACCACCATAGAAAAGCACTCTTATAGTTATGTATAAGGATGTGTTAGTTGTTGGATAACTTCAAAGTATTTATGATTCTCTCACTGTTATCGATCGATGAGGATTTATTGAATGCATTCATTTTAAATGACTGACGACTGAAACGCATTATATTTTCGTACAGTCGTACACGTATTAGTTTACAGTTGAACCTTGTACACGCTCACGTAATCGTCTATACAGGGTGAATGTTAATCATTGGATTTAAGATCGAACGGTTATGATCATTCTAGAGTTCATTTGATGTACGCATAGAAATTTAAGTGTATTTGGTTTTAGTTATAAAAAAACAATTTTATATCCACGTCATGACCACGTGTTACGCTAGCTGTCTAAGAGTTTCTTTCCCGCTTATATTTACTAGTTCAAGTAGTTTTTATATGGAAGTTAAGAGTAAAATTATAAGAGAAGTGAATAGTTTAGAGAAAATGTATGATTCTATATGTGAGCTGAGGAAAAAGATTAAGAGCCCGTTTGGAGACCTCTTTTTTCGGCTTATCAGGCTTATCAGCCAGCTTTTTCACCAAACACGTAATTTTTACTTTCGCGTGATGAATTGTGTAATAAGCAGAAAAAGTAAGGTTGGAGTTACTTTTCTGGCTGTATTGGCTGAAGTTACTGTAGATGACCATTTTAGCTATTTTTACATGTAATTTTTTCTTTATTTTATTAATAAAATATATTTTTAAAATATTTTTTTCTAGAATCAGCAGAATCAGCCAAAACAGCCACTTCAGCCAGAACTTCATAAATTTCAGCCGAAACAGCCAAAACAGCCGATTTTCGTGCTACCAAACGGGCTCTAAAAGGTAGAAAAGTAAAAATGTGATTGTGCAGGTTGCCAAAAAATTAAAAGTGAAACAAATAATATAAATTTGATAATTGAAAAGATGAACAAGTATAAATGAGAGAAGACTGTATTGTGCAGTGTGTACATCTTCCACAAATGAGTAGATAATAATATAAAACTGGACCAATAAAATTGATATGCATATATACATAGGTGGTCTGGGTTTCGGTTCAGTCCTGACTTGAGCCCATTTTTCTAGTTTTGGACTACAACCGGCTCAATTAATTTGACTGGTTCCACTATTTTTATCTTTCGTATACTGATTACTGGCTAACGCTGAACAAGAATCGATTTACCCACCTGGTAAATTCTGATCCCCCCATTAAGCTTACGCAGAACCGGGGTCCCGAAGCAGAACCAAACAAGACGGCCCCTGATTCCGCCCAAGATATAAAAAACGAAATACTCCTCAATTCGTTATCGTCTGGACTATTTTCGGTTAGAGATCAGACCATATTTAACAAATCAGATTAGATCCGACTAGACTTAAACGAATCGCATCAGACCAACTTTCATAGTTATAAAATACATAGAGATCATACATTTACCAAATTACGTAGTAGAAAAGACCAGTTCGAACAAAACCAGACCATACTTCAACAGATCAGACCAGGTCAAATCAGACCAATCTTGACCAGCAAATTTCTATCCAAAAGAAAACATCTTCAATGTATGATCACATTTTAAATATTTAATTTAATGATTATATCGATATTCGAATTTTATATTATAGTGACTACAAAGTATTTCTATAGTAATCCTAAACATTTTTTTGTCATAAAAATTCAATTAGTACTATTTTCAGAAATTTTTAAAGATTTTTCTAAAAAATATTACTGAAATAAATATACGTATATTTACAAAAGTATGACAAAAGGTTCTACTGTAGCCATTAAAACTCAAGAGGTCACGATGTTTTTGGCAATCAAGAGGTCACAATTTTATAAATGTCTTTTATTTTAATTATAAATATGTAATTATTTCTTTTCCTTTCTTTCATACAAAGTATCAATTTTATGTTTATTTTTAGATTTCTACATTCTAATTTAATATGGAGTATCTAATTTTATCTTTTTTAAATGTACTGTATTAGTTAAAAATTAATATAGAAATTTTAAAATGACAAGAAATATCATTATAGCTATTTTCACTATTGTTTTGAGTAGGCCTTGCTAACTTTGTTCAAAAAATTTAACAATTTCTTTCTAAAACAACCAATTAGTTGTCATTATTTTTCTCTTTTGGAGTATGCGCTAGCTTCGACCACATATTCAGGCGTGGGAAAAAATACCGAACCGGCATGCTACCGACCCGGACCGGTATGGAACCGAACCGAAAAACAGGTTTCAAATTGATCTCAAATTTTTTGTCCCGAACCGGACCGGATCAGTTCCAAATCATGCCATGACTGGTTCTCATAAACTGAGAACCGGTACCGCATCGGACCAGACCGAAGTATGGTTTAAACGTACATGTATACCATTGTGTGAATTTATGTTTTGTGATTTATGTTTTGTACATCTCAAATTATATCTCAAATTAAGTAAACGTAAGCGTACGTCTCAAATGATATGTTCCCCCTTAAACAATTGGAAAAAGTGACATTGTTTGGTATTGGAATGACATGCTACCGTCCCGAACCGAACCGTCTACACGTATGTACAATTTTTCACTTTCTTATTACACGTTCTACTCTAACTTAACAATTTTTTTACTATACAATTCAATAGTAAAAATTGTGTGTGTACACACACAAATGATAATATGCTCTAAACAGAGAAACTAGGCTGAGTTTAGAGCGTTAAATAAATTTCAATATTGTGCATTATGTGAAACAGAAATATGTACTACCATAAATTAGAAAATGTGCATTTGAACTATTCATTACTTTAACAACAAAGATGCACCTTTAAGATGTGCATTATTTTAATCATAAATGTGCACCACTTTGAATCTGTTATCAGATTGGGCTTTAGCTTTAATATATGTTAATATGCAACTTAGTCTTAAATGTAATTAATGGGCCAATGGCTCCCTTTGTACTCTATAAATATTGTTTCCCTTCAATGAATAATACACAAGTTTCATTCCCAATATTATTGCATATATGCTATTGTCGAACATGGCATCAAAGCAGTGGCTGTGAGCCGCTCAATCCGAACGCCTCAGCGACTGCCGCGACGCCGTCTGCGAACGAAGGCAGCCCCCACGTGACTGTTTCCGTCAATCGCTATGACCGACCCTACTTCACCCTATTATCTTGGTCCCGGTGATCAACCGGGGAACGTGATTACACACGTGATATTTAAAGGAGACAACTATGTGGCTTGGTCTCGGGCTATTTCTCTTTCGTTGAAGGCGCGACACAAGTTCGTGTTTGTGGATGGAACCGAGAAGAAACCCACCGATGCTGCGAAATTGCTGGACTGGGAAACCACCAATTCTATGGTGGTGTTTGGATACCATATTTTTCTCACTTAAGGGTATTTAGATGTTTGGGCTTTGCTTTCAATTTGAAATCTAGTAGTGATAAGATCGCTTCGCGGAGTAGGTGTTGCGTTTTTGTTGGTTATTCTTCTGGTAAAAAGGGTTGGAAATTGTATGACTGTGATACTAGCGACATATTTGTTTCCCGGGATGTGAAATTTTATGAAGATGTCTTTCCTTTCTCTGAGCAACGGGCACCCGAACACTCTGCCGTGGTGGAAGACCACGAGCACACCAGGGTTATTTTTGATGATCCCGTTCCAGCACCCACGTCCTCGGCAACCGCTTCTTCATCTAACGAACCCCATGCAGATGCCGCGGACGTACCACTAGGCCGAGGGATGTGTGCTAAACGTTCTTCGGTTCTTCTACGAGACTTTGTTACTCATCATGTCCGGAAATATAGCTCATCTCCACCGCCACCTTCTCCTCCGGGTTTCTCAGGTATGCCGTATCCTTTAGCACATTATATAAATTGTGAATTTTTTTTTGTCCATCACATACGGTTTCTTGGAGCTATTCTTGCAGGAGAGGAAGCTCGTTCGTTTCGCGAGACTATGTCGGACTCTGGGTGGCGATCGGCTATGGGGGTCGAAGTACAGGCCCTTGAAAAGAATCAAACATGGGAGGTCGTTGAACTTCTCCCTGGCAAGCGGGCACTCGGGTGCAAATGCGTCTACAAAATCATGTATAATTCTAACGGCACCGTGGAGCGGCTAAAAGCACGGTTAGTCGTGCTTGGCAATCATCAACGCGCATGTATTGATTACACTAAAACTTTTGCTCCTGTTGCGAAAATGGTTACAGTGCGTGTGTTTTTAGCGGCTGCTGCGGCAAAAAACTGGGAGCTACACCAAATGGATGTACACAATGCCTTCCTCCATGGTGATTTGGGGGAGGAAGTGTACATGAAACCACCACCTGGATTTTATCCCTCTCGTCCATCTACTGTGTGTCGTTTGAAAAAAATCCTTATACGGGTTACGACAGGCTCCTCGGTGTTGGTTTGCGAAACTTGCCACTTCTTTGCGGGACTATGGTTTTTGTTAGTCCAAATATGATAATTCTCTTTGTACTTATAAAAAGGGGGACGTACGCATGCATGTCCTAGTCTATGTGGATCTCATTATTTCTGGAAATATTTCTTCGGCGATAGCTCAGTTTAAGCAATACCTGCATAATTGTTTTCACATGAAGGACTTAGGCTCCCTTAAATATTTTTTGGGTATCGAGGTGGCTCGGAGTGCTGATGGGTTATTTCTTTGCCGGCGAAAATATGCCCTTGATATTATTTCTGAGACTGGTCTTCTTGGTGCTAAGCCTGTTCTCTGTCCGATGGAACCCAATCATGCGCTGGCTCATGCAAGTGGCGGCCTACATGCCGACCCCGAATCATATCGCCGGCTCGTGGGGAGGCTTATATAATTGTCTTTTACTCGCCCAGATTTGGCTTATGCCGTTCATATTTTATCTCAGTTTATGCAGGCACCGCGTCAGGAGCATTGGCATGTTGTTGTTCGCGTAGTTCGTTATCGGAAGGGAGCACCTGGCCAAGGCATACTTCTCTCGTCCTCGTTGGATTTCTAGCTCACGGCCCGGTGTGACTCGGATTGGGCAAGTTGCCCTCTCACATGACGTTCTCTCACTGGTTGGATAATTTTTATTGGCAGTTCTCCATATTTCTTGGAAGACAAAGAAGCAACACACCGTTTCCCGTTCCTCTACCGAGGCCGAATACAGATCCATGGTTGCGGTCACTGCGGAGCTTAAATGGCTAAAAGGTCTTTTACTTACTCTTGGGATTGACTGTCATTATGTACGCGATGCTATTCAGGAAGGACTTCTCAAAACTTGTCATGTCTCAACTAGTGATCAATTGGCATATATCTTTACTGAAACTCTTGGTCAACAACAGTTTCTCTTTCTCATTGGCAAATTGGGCATTTTTAATCCTCATGCTCCAACTTGGGGGGGGGGGGGGGTTATCGGATTAGGCTTATTGGGCTTTAACTTTAATACTATCGTATATGTTAATATGCAACTTAGTCTTAAATGTAATTAATGGGCCAAGGACTCCTCTTGCACTATAAACATTGTTTCCCTTCAATGAATAATACATGATGGACAGTCTACCCGGGGGGTATCTTATCCGAGGGGTTATTGCGGGAATAACTTAGAGAGAAGTCAGAGCAAAATAGGAGGAGAGAGAGTCGATTTATTAAATGAACTCTGCGTGGTTTACAAGGTGAATAAGGGCTGCTATTTATAGCAGCAATAAATGCGATGTGAGTACACGTGTCAGTAATCCAACGGCCGAAGGGTCACATCAGCCGGGTGGCACCGACAGTGGTATGTTCACCGCATTGAATGCGGTTGGCGGATGTGACGTGGCATTAAATGTGGTGGTTGGCTGTCTCCAAAAGGAATCTTCGATGATTGAGCATGTTTGGCCGAAGGCTCCTTGTGTAGCCGAGTGCTCCACGTGACCAAGGACCCCTGTGTAGCCGAAGGCCCTGTGTGACCGAAGGCTACTTTCAGCCGAAGCCCTCTGATGTCGAGGGCTTGATAATGCCGAAGGCTCAGGTTTTTCGCTGTTTTCTCCCAGTAGTTTCTTATGCCAGAGAAATCTATCCTGTGAGTTTTGGAGCCTTCGGCCAAGGAAGCCGAAGGCACCCCAGTGTGTATTCTGGGCTACTTTGAGGCTTGGGCCGTTGCATTTGGGCCTGAGTTGTTCTCTGGGCTCAATGGACTTGTGTAGGAGAAGTAGAAGTCTATGGGCCGGGGGTTCCTGGGCCATATACTCCATCAATACACAAGTTTCATTCCCAATATTATTGCCTATATGCTACTGTCGAACAGAATCATGTGTGTATCATTTGGGATCGTTCTCATTTTTCACGGAAAGAAGTGTTCTCACCGGAACGGCTATATATAACAAAAATAATGCAAATAATAATGATGAAAGTTATTGTAGAATAATAATACATTATTCTACAATTTAAAAAATTACCTAACAAACTTTTTTTTTGAAGAAATAAAAATTATTTAATACTCCGTACATAAACAATAAATGGACAAAAAGTTATGTATGTACTCCGTACTAATTAACTTCAAAATATAATTGTTTATATTTTTATTGGTCATTTTAATTTGAGAAAGTTCCCGAAATAGGACTAAAACAGTTTGAAAATTCCAAAATAGGACTGCCATGTTTTTTATTCCCAAAATAGGAGTAATTACTGCCAAGTTTGGAAAATACTGCCATGTTTGAAGTCTGGTACTGCCAAAACATGACAGTAATTAGTCCTATTTTGAGAATAAAAACATGTCAGTCATATTTTGGAATTTTCAAACCTTTTTAACCCTATTTCGGGTAATATCCCTTTTGATTTACATATTATATGCTAGTGATAAACGGTAAATTAGCCAATGTCACCGGACTCCAAAATATTACTCCTATTACATAAAATTCTTTCTAGTTACTATTTTGGGTTGTCCAAATGATTTCTTCTAATTTAACCATTTTGAAAGTTTTGTGTGAATAACATTCATTTACGTTTTTTTACTCAACCACAACTATATATTTTTACTTTATTCCCACTTTTTTAAACTTCGATCAGAATCACACCGGGAAGAATTTGTATGGAATGAAGGCAGTAATGATCTAAGTCAATCAAAATATCTAACCAAACCTACTACTAGTATAATTCCTGAGTAACCCTCAATTCGATGAATAATATTTAGTACTAATTACTCCATAATACTCCGTATTCAGTAAGTGTAGCATGAAAAATTCTAGATGTACACCAAATATGTGCACACTTGGCACAATTTTATATTTAATTGTTTTTACGCACATACAATGTGTACACGTACCCCACACCTAGTTTTCTGTGTATATAGACAGCTCATGCAACAATTATCTGTGTATAAATACAATTACTTACCAATGTGTGTTAAGTGTATACAATTTTTGTGTATAGAATTGTTGCTCTAGCATAAACAGTGTTGGGTTGCAATCCACAAGGAACCATAATTGGCCAATGATAAGATATATTGGGGGACTTAATTGGGCTGTATAGTAGAGGCTGGCTAATAAGTTTTAAGGGTGTACCCTATTGTACGTACATGCTATCGATAGAACTTTGAGGCTAATTGATGAACATCATTCAGAGTTTTAGAGAGAATTCCCAAACGACGGCCTTAATAGGGTCATAGTTAGTCAAAAACTAATTAAGGAATCAGAAAAGTTGTTACTATTTGACGATGATAATTAAGATTTAAGATAATGATGTTTCAAAAACTGCGGTCTTTGATTTGTTGCAGGAGTAATAAGCAATCAAGATGATCCAGTTCTTTTTGTTCCACAAAGGATGGCATTTCAATATGTGCCCATTGGTGGATTTGGTCAATGCATATCATTTCATTTTTCATAGTCAACTCTCAATACCAATTCTCAATTCTTCAAAGACAGGACTGCCCTTTGGGGTGTTGGGAAGCGGTCATGACTTTTAAGTTTTAACTATGGGAACATGACTACTTTTAGTATTATTAATTAATACGATATTATATAAAGTAGTGACATCCCATAATTGAGTAACACATTGAGTACCACAGTGAGCAAAACCATTTTATTGTAGTGTAATTGATGCCACCCAAAAGTTCTTCATGTATGCAATATAAGGCAATAATGTACTCGTGTTTAATCAATTACACTCTTGACATTAGTCAATTAGATATATACGTCACTAGTCCCCATTAAAAATAGTTGCAAATTTAATAAAATATAAACAAATTGTTTATGTAAGCACTAAAACTTTACAAAGTTCAATAATAAGATGTTTTTTTCTCCAAATAGACGTACTTAGTCCTGTTAAAAGAATAAGTCGATCAAAAATCTCAAAATAGAAATTAGGGAAAAGAACAATAGCAGTATTATTTATAAACTTTATTCTTGTTTTAATCATGTTTAGTGAATTTTGTTTAAAATATACAGTACATGCAAGATTTAGGTGAGGATATGTATTGTCTTTGCTATGATCGTAGACGAGGACATCTCATATTTAATTCTTAAGAAAAGTTTGAATCGGTGAATCCTAGGATAGCATGTACGTACAGGTCAACCCCATGTCACATGACATATGTCATACCAATATTTGTACTACGTATATGCAAGTACGTACATATACGTATTATGTTGAAATCATTTTTTTTTGCTTTGAAAAACGTTTTTGTGCCTGTTTATAGTTATTTAAAATTATTTATTCTGAACCATCATTAGAGTTCTCCACAAAATGTATCCTCATCCACCATCATTTTTCCTCCAGAATAGGGGTGATCTTCTATGAATTCTCTTTTAAGCTGATTTTTTTTTTGAAAAATTAATAGGGACATTTTTCAGATTTTCAAATAGACTGATTTGCGTATCCAAATGAAAAATAGCTCGTAATATGAATTGATAAGAGACATGAAATGGACGCTGTGTGTGTATCTCTTTTTAAAGCAGGACGATATATTCAGCTAGAAGAGATTCAATTTACTATAAATACGGGTAACTATTTTGTTCATCCCTTCTTGTAGGGTGAAATAGACAAATAATGAAAATAATCTCCTGCTTTATTTTTTATGGCAAGAATTACGATTCATATGAAATATGGACAATTGTTTCTTTCTAAGATGACATACTAAGATTTTTTTTTCTTTTTTTGATCATCAAACGGGCCTCTATTCATATCAAAAGATTCAGGATCATTACATCAAGCAAAAGGAAAATAAAACTGACACTAACTGAAACTTCAACAACTACGACTGTAACCCTATGGTGAGACTTTGAGACGGTCACCCCTGAGAGAGCAACACGAATCGCTAACCATGTAGTGGGCTTGACACAGCCAAACCTATTCCCATAGATCCAACCATACCCAATGACATAAAGAGAGGCAAAAAACTCAAACAAACTGTCAAAACCAACAACAAAAGTGGACACAAGAAAACAAATAACAAACAGATAAAAAC